GTTTTCAGCAAAATAAGTTTTTTGTTGTTTTTTTTCTTTCCTCCAGCTACTACACAGCTGAAGCAGTGCAAATACATGTGTTTGTGTCCCAGTAACCAACCCTTCCCTCTGCAGAGAAACAATAGCCTCAGCAACCCAGTGCTCACCACGGGAATATCCAGTTGTGTACAGGGACAAAGTTCAAACCCTCGAGCAAGCCCTCGGAAGAAGCTTTAGCCAGGGAAGGAATAAGCACCATGCAGAGCCAGAAAGGGTTAAAGCTTCACTGACTTCTCCAGTTCTTCCATCATGTCCACCGAGACACCAAAAATGGGTTTCTGCTGTTTGGTTTTTTTTTTTTTTTTATCCCCCAGACATTGTACTGTCTTAATTATCTAACAAACTGCATTCAGAGATGATTCTGGATGTTTTAGCAGTTACTTAGGAATATTTACATGCCATACTTCGAGTTGCAAAATTCAGCCTCCTGAAGTAAAGAAAAGTGAGTGAAACGAGAAAAGCAACTTTGGGCAATTTTAAAGCACAAACAGAGTCCTTGGTCAAATACAAGGGACAGGGTGGCCTGAATTAAATTGTGTCTTTTAAGAAACCAAAGAAGATTTCAGAGCCTCAATGACTTTGTAGCAAATACCTCTGTAGGCAAATCAAAATTATGAACCAGAGGTTATTTTTTTTTTAATTAAAAAGATACTAGGACGCATATTCCCAGACAATGCCCTGCATCCAATCCCTGGGGAAGCGTGCGAGGGCTGTAGCAGTAAAGACCGACGCATCGCCCTTTGGGATTAAAAAGACCCATGGCTCCCTGTCGAAAGTACAAGAGGAATGTAGGTAAGGAAAATATCATTATTTGAGTTGGCCGGGGGCCAGGGTGCCGAGGCTAAGACCCCAATCCTAATGAAGAGCAGAAAGGAATCCCAAGCCTGCTGTTTAATATGCATGACATGTCGGCTTTGCTGTCAACTTTTCCTTCCACCCCCTGCTTTTGTCCGCTTTTTCCACCTGTTGTAACTTGTCCTTATTCAGGCTGAGAGCTGGAATTGTCTTACTTTGATGTCACATTGTGTCTGGCACAACGACGCCCTGATCCCTGTCTGCTCTTATCGAGACACTGAAGTGATCATGAATAGCAGTAATACTGCACAGCCCATCAAAACTTTCCTTTTCACATACAGAGATATATATATATATACATTTTACTTAAATCTTGATGCTATAAGCTATGGCTCCCCAAGCTAGGAGTCAAATACGGAGGAGATTTTCCAGGATCTGTCATCACAGGGCTGCGTGACTAACCACTGGGTTTTGAGTAAAGTGTTCTTCAAGATAAGAAAAATATGCAAGTAGAAACAATAAAAATAATGCAATTCAATCTTATCAATTCAGGCAGTTCCAGCTTTTATGTGGCAAACAAGGAGATCAAATTGCATTTATCTAATATCACAGATTTTTTAAATGTCTAAAATATTTAATTATTTTGCTTTGGCAACCTAAAGCTGAGGAACAGATTACTGTTCCCACTACATAAGGAAATAACTGACAACAATTAGTATTTATTCTTGTTGCTTTTGTAATAAAAATAGAATTCCATCACTTTCAAGAAAACCTAAAATATTAATAAGAATGTGATGAACTGAGTAAATGTGACGCCATAAGGAAATGATGGAGAACAGGTTGGAAATATAGTGCTTTGGGAATGGATTGCATTATCAAGCTTGTGATTGTGCATTTTGACAAGAGCAGCCCTCAGATTGATACGGTAGCCAAAGGGCACTCTTCCTACTGCGAAGCCGTTTGTTTGCATCCGCAAAAGGGGGAGTAGAAGGGGAATTGATCCCCTCCGACAATCGATAGCGACTCCAGCCTAGGCTCTTCCACACGAGGTCACTCCTGAGTGACGATATTCCCGGATGATGGCCAAAATGCAAACCACAAAGCCACCATGGACAGAAAAAGCAACACTGGGCTTATTGAAGAGCATAGAGTTGGCTTCATTGCCTACACCACGATGCTCCTGACAGCTCCTGTAGTCCATACACACAGTATGGTCTTTTGGGTTTTGGAGAGCTGAATGATTTCTGGGAACTTTGCAATCCACAGATCCCTTCCCTACCTCCCACGTGTGGTGATAGCATCTCTACTTTCAATCCAACCCAGGTGCCTGGTTTCATGTGACACAAAATTAACATGGCAGACCATCTACCAGCAGACTCAATTATAATTGGTATTAATTAGGAGGATTTTTGGCAAACTTAGGAGAAAAAAACCCAAAACTACAGTCTTAACGATAACGAAATTTCTTGGAAATTATTAAGTCTGCCACTGATTTTTAAAAACTATCTGTCTAGAACAACACTTATTCATGTAAAAAAGAGTAGTGCTGCACCAAATGTCTACGTCTTCTAAACGGGGGAGACTGCTAGGGTGAAAAACATGTTCTTTCTGACCCAGTGTTAGCTGCATAAATTAAAACAGTGAAATAGTTGGCATCATAAAGTAAAGAGTAATCCCTTTCTATGTATTTCGGAGAAAGATCATGGCTTTACATATTCTGGTAATGTTCCCCAAGGCCATCCTTGGTTTCTTCTTAGCTCAAGAAAAGTTCAATTAGAGCATGAGTTGAATCCAAACTGGATGAGAAGCCACTGAAAAGCTGCATGACCAAGAGGACAGACACTCTATGAACTTTGGAAATTGAGCCTGGAACTTTGAGCCCAATTTTCAATGAAATCAGTGTCTACATCTCAAAAAGCATAACCGAAAATTGCCATTTGTCCTTGTAGTGTAAGCAGAAGCAATTAGGATTAAACATAAAAACCAAATTCCAGCTACTAAGTCTCTAGGGGCAGTCTCTCCAGTTTTAAATTAAAGAGTAAATTACTGGAATGCCTCAGTTAGAATATACCTGTCCTTTATATACTTGTGCTGCTGAAAAACCCTAACACCACAGCAGTACCGGGTCTAAAACTGGACACTTTTGGCAGCCCTTAAAATGTAGAGAAGATAAATACAAATGAGTCTGAACTGTCAGAATATTACATTAAAGATTATCGAGGGTGCTGGTGGCCTGCTAACACACATCAGTTGTTCATCTTCCCTGTTACACTGGGGGAGTTTTAAGCCATCTATAAAAAAATCTCCTCTGTTTGGATTTGGCTTTGGCAGCAGTCAATAACGTAAGAGCGCTATAAAATTATAAAATCGTTAAACTTTGTAAGAACTTTACAAACACACTTGCAGATATTGCACATATCTTCTCTGTGCTCTGCAGTCAAACTGGACAATGAAACGACCACCTGTTAACTGCTAACAATGTGTCATTACCAGTTCTCATGCCTTTTTAAAGCAATTTTGGCTCTAGCTGCCGATAATTCTGGCTACGATACTTGTGTGAACATTAAGGGCACAGAAAGCCAAAGGCAGAAAACTGACAATACAGTTTGTGCTTAGACTACTAATAAGTAAGTGAATAATATGATTTTTCTAATTCCACGTAATTGCTTGATCTCAAGGGGCCAAAAAAAAGTTCTGAATACATATTTTAGAAGCAATCCAATCTCCCGTATTTAAATTAAAGCTTCAATTCAGTGAGATTTCACAGCAGACATTTTTACATTTTTTAATAAATAGCCTTTAACCAAACAGAGGTTACTCAGGATTCTCTAAGGTTTGAAAAGAAGCACAGACTAAGTCCCTGTCACTGCTCGTATTCACTTTTTCTGTTTTGCCTGACAAATTAGCATTTAAAGATATGTGAGAAGTCTAAATAAATAAATAAAAATTCCTCGAGTGCTGAGACAGTTTATGGGCGTTTTGCTGTTAACTACAATAAGCGCAGAATCAGACCCTCAAAACTTACCGAGCTCTCAGTCTTATTTTTCTTCCTCTGAGAAATGCAACTCAACACACAGTACAAAGATATTGGGACAATTTTTCACAAGCTGCATTCAGGCTACTTTATCTTTTATAAGAGAAAGAAGAATCTTAAAAAAAAAAAATAAAAAAAATCTCCAAGATAATAGGAAAACAACAACAACAAAAAGCTTTGGTCTGCGAAAAGAGACTATTTGATGAATCTCTGTATTTGTGTGTGCACGCGCGCGCACATGTGTGCATATATTTATGATTGTGTGGATAATTATCATTAAAAATAGCAATGTTGGGGTTTTTTAATGCAACTCTTTTCTTAACCTCTAAGGCTTTGATCCTGCACTGAAACGCATGCGGGCAAATTCCTACGCAGCACTTCAGCACCTATAGGTATCTCGTACCAGCACGCGAGTCTAAAGCTGTCACATTAGAAGCAGTATGTGAATCTCCTGCCAAACAAAGAAGAAAAACGAAGATTCAAGGCAGAGGGTGAAATTAAAAAAACGCTGAGTGAGTGATTCAGGGTCACCACCAGCTCCTGCGCCTACTGCCCACAACATCACGAGCATCTCGGCACAAACTGGAAAAGGAAAGTCTCAGCAGCATAAAGCACATCCCTGCTAGTTTTAGATCACTTTCTTTTCTAACCACACTGACAAAAATCAACCTTGATCCCTAGAATTTACCTCCTATAAAATTACAGATATATCACCGATTGTCAGCTACAAAGGATATGTCAGGTCTTTCGGCAATTCAGTGTATAAATATACAACAGGCAAAATTACTCTGGCAATTTGAGGTATTTTACTAAAATGGAAACAAAGCAACTGCAACGGACCATTAGCATAGGACTCATGTTGCTTATTTTTAAAAACAAATGGCTCGAATAAATGTGTTTGCTCCTAAACAAATTTATTTTGCTTAGGAGAGAGTGTCACCCTTTAGAAGTGTGGAGCTAGTAACTGTCTTTACTTAAATGCAAGTTATGTATATCAGCACAGAACACATGCAGCTTTAAAATTCTCAGTGATCTTTCTTACACTCTGTATGTAATAAAAATTATCTTACCCTGTAATGGCATAGTTATTTAAAAAGGAAAGAAAAAAAAATCAGAAAGAAAAAAGCCTTACTTAAAGATTTTCTGTGCTCAGGCTTTGGTTCTTTGGACTCAGTGTCTAAGCTATTCAGTAATTCGATGCTGGAGGATCTTCTGAGTTTGAACTCCAAATTTCTCGATGTACAACTCCGTTCTTTTGGCTGGGAAAATAAAAAAAGAAAAATATATACACACATATGTGTATGCTTTTAATAAAATTATTATTTGCAAGAAGGAAGCAAGAGATTATGAAATGCCAGTAGAAAATCAGAAGCACAGAGCAAGTGATGCAGCGAGTATATAATTTAAGGAAAGCGTAATGTAAGATTTGTCATATGGCAGAGCTTTTATGGCCTTGACAGACTGATCTTAATTTCTGAGATAAATTCCCATTTAAGTGAGGAAAACAAAAGGCCTACTTCTTTAGGCTTTAGAGACCAAAATTATTTCCACATTGCAGGCTACTTCCAAACGATTGCAAAGAGGAGGGTTATTTAAATTGCCTTTCTGGTTTAGATAGTTACAGTAAGCATTCTTGCAAACACAATTGTTTCAAACATCCTGACAAATTTGGGGTTGGATTCTGCTCGTCTAAGCTTAGGAAAGAGGCAGGAGGGGAACTTCTTTCGTGCACTAATTCAGTAGCGTACAAAGTGAAAATTATGGACCATTAATGGAGAAAACAAAAAAAAATGAAAAAAAAAAGAAAAGAAAAAACGAAATTATATTTTGGCTAATGACACATCTCCTCCCACAGCATTTGGTCAGGAGAGATTTAGCTGTTCCAGCAGCCTGGAAACCTGCAAAGACTTTATACACTCATTGGAAGTTGTAAAACTGAAATAAATGACAGATATGAACTGGTCACTGAGTGCGTGGTGGTGGCATCTTGTCCTGTGCACGCAGCGAAGGCAAACTGTGGCCGGGACAAGCCCTGCCCTCCCGTACCCAAACCAGCTACTAGCTGTGGCCCCACCAGCTGCTCCTGCTGTGGGTCAGTGCAGGCTCAGAGATGCTGATGCCAAAATATTACCTTTGTTGTACTAAAAAAATCAATCGAGCCTATTAGATGTTTAGCTGAATAACATGAAGGGGAAAAAAAAAGAAAAAAAAAAGTATTCTGAGTCTCCACGGAAAACTCCACCCCAAAATCTTCAGTAGGATATCAATATCCTCACACACCCAATGAAATGCACAATATGAAGACATACATCATCAGATCAAACTTTCCTTGGCTGATTATAGCCTCAGGGCAATCTAATGTTTGTAGCTCTTTAAGGAAACAGTAGCCGTGTTCAGATTAACCCTTTCACAGAGAGGCTGCCTCTGCCCCTTCTGCCAATTCCATTGCAGCAAAATCTCTGAAAAATGCAAGATTTGGGGATATTTGTCTCTCATCAGATTCTGCAGTGAAAAGAAAAGTCAGTGCCCTCTAAAAAAATATGTTCTTGGAGCAGGCAGGGATAGGAGGGAGACATTTGGAATCTGTACTGAGAGTGGCAAAAAAGAAAGAAAAAGCTACAGCTGAATCTGGTTTGGTAATTAAAAACTGTTTTAATAAAATGCAGCCCTGCTTACTTCTAGTAGAAAACCCCCAGCCTTCCTGGGAGAATAACAGCAATCAGTTACAAAGGAATATTATTTGCTAGTGTTATTCTTGTGAATAAGTAATACAAAAATTCATAAAAGGCTCAAATGTATTAATAGTTCTATTGAAGATTATATACTGTAGGCTGCATAAACAGAAAATGCAAAAATTCATTAGTTATTAAGTGCTTGTGTGCTTTTACAACCCTCAGCAAAGCCATGTCCTTGTTATTTCAGAGAAATAAATGTAGCGTTCCGTTCCGAGGCGAGAATCAAATGACATTTTTGTTCAACAACCTTGTTTATCTGACATTTTTTAGTAGATTTGCATACATATTTTTATATCCTTCCGAGAAAGGAATGTCTAGCTAGCTGCTGACTGCCTGAAACCTGTAGAGAAGCCTAAGCAAATGAAGTTGAAATTGCTACATCTTAATTAATAAAGGTAACAGCCAAAACAAATACATACCAATCTGTCAATTGCATTTTTGATAGCGTGGAACCAATCCAATATGAGAAAGTCGATATCCGACTGGAGGAGGAACTCATTTCCTGACAGTGTCGTGATCTGGGGAGGGCATGGGCACAGACAGGTAAGTAAAGCACACACCGGAGAGATGGTTTTCATCTCTTTTCTCTCCTAGGCACCCAAATGCTTTTCTTTTGTACCAAGAATTATCTCCTGGAGTGCTGAGTTACTGAGGAGTTTCGAACCTCTGTCTGAAAACTGTTTTGAATATGTCACAACAAACGAGATATTGTCTCAGCAACGCAACCACCGAACACAAATAGTGCAAAAACAACGGGGATGCGACAAAAGTTAAGAAGAGAAAGGAAACTCAGTGTTACAAGACACAGTTCAAATGTAAATCAAAGCACCCTGAAAAGAAATGAATGCAATTCGAGAATTAATTCCTGTTATTTTCAGTTTCTATTGCTATTTTGGTATTATTATTTTTGTATCTGGTACTTCCGTTCTCAATCTTATACATTTATGATATAGATATACCCATGATTCCAGAGTCCACTTCCAAGCATTTTGGAAAAATTAATAATGTCACTCTTTTTCACGTTAAAAAAAAAAATACCATCAAAGATGGCTGTAGCAGAGTAATTAGGAACCCATTTATCATGGAAAAAAATCCCCAGTTTGTCTGAATAGAAGTTGATTTACATTTTTGACCCACTCACTGGGAATATTTATCAAAAGAATATTCAATCCCCTGATAATCCTGTTTCACTGCCTAACAATATTTGGTGGAAATACGCGTGCATATTCTGTTGGTCTGAACTTCTGTAAACCACCGTGATAATAATGATACATCACTTTTTTTTTTTTTTTTTTTCCACATGTATACCTTTTCACCGGAGCAGAGCTCCAAGTATTTTATACAGCAGGTCAAAATGACCATTTTGCAGATGGCAAAACTGAGGCACAGAGCTGCCCAGTGCTTCACCCAAGGATTATTCTGCTGGATCATGGGGCATGTGGCCTTGGAGCACGATCCAGGGCACAGCAGCTCTCTGTGTTTATAGACAAGTGAATAGAGGGTTACGTCTCCACCACGTTTTGCAAGGGGCAGGAATTCGTCCTGCCCACACTCTGAACTAGCTCAGCTCCTGCCAGCTCTGAAACTAAAGCTTTTTTTCTTTTTTCTTTTTCTTTTTTGTTGCTAATAGTTCCTTGTGCAAAACTCGGTAGCATCCGCACTTGGGAATTGCACACTCAGGTTTCAGTGTGTCGGGGCTGCAGGTTTGTCCTGCGCATTGGGTGGCTCATCAGGACACGATATTACTCAGGACTAAAACTTTTTCAGGTCTTTCTCGGGGAACAGATGAACACAGTGGACAACAGAGATATTTCTCTGACCAAAGCATGAGGAAAAGCAGAGCGAAGCCGTTAAAACCTGGCACAGACTATTTATGTAAATCTATCCACTCAAAGTGCTACTGTTTCAGTGCATCTGCCCCATGTCAAGAGTTTTTACAAAAGCTTAAAAGAAACAGCAGATCCTCACCAGCCTGGGTTCTCCCTGCATCTTTCTTAAAACCAAAATACTACCAGAGGGGAAAAAAAAAGAGAAAAAGAAAAAGAAAAAAATAAAAAATAGCTTAATGTTTTATTAATTGTTCTATAACTCTCCCGTTATTGAGGAAATGCCTGTAAGGAAGGTTTCCAAAGTCATCAGCATTAAGGAAAATCCCGTCAGTGCAGCTCCAGCGGAGACATCCTGTGAGAGCACTGCGGAGAATGTGGGAATGGTCCCCCGGTGCGGGCTCGGGAGGCTGCCCGGCTGCAGATGTTCATCCCGTCCCACCCGCGCCCGTCAGGAGCAGACTTCCAGCCACCCCCATTGTTCCCCATGCACATGGGAGAGTTATTTATTGGGGAAATTTTAATTCCCTTATTAGTTCACAGCCATAGTGTTAATCGCTACCCACGCACTCACCATTCCCTTTATCAAAAATAAAAAAAGAGTCAAAATTCAACTTCAGGTGAGCAGTTGAAGCAGCTGACCTCCAATTCTGTGCCCGGCTCACATGGCAAGATTTGGGTTCAAAATGTATTATATTATATTGCAATTTATTGATGTATACATGCAGATATGAATTAGACTAAACACAGGCAACAATTCGATCTAATGCCTCTCTCTCAGTATAAACAAATCATTATTAAAATTATAAAATGGAATAACATTTTCAAAGTAAGAGCAACATATATAATTAGATTTACTGTATTTTGAAGGCTTAAAAAAAGGACACAACATAGTTCAGTCTTCCGTTCAGTAAATTCAGGCTTTATTAAAATACAAGTATTGAGCACTGCATAAACATTTGCAGTATATGATATGCAAAAGAGATAGTCCATTGCTAACAAGACCAAAGCAAAATACATGTTGAAAGTTTCTTTGACTGAATGTGTTATTTTGATAATCATATATTATCGGTGGTTTGTGAGCAAATCTGTAAAACCAGATCATAGAATGGAGGGAAGAGAATTCATTTAAAATATACTTTCTGTAAGATATAGTTCAAGTCCTTTTCTTTCTTTCCTCAGACTAATCTTCCGAATAACTAGACAGTTTCAAGAAGACTGCTACTGCTCTCTACAGTTTAAATGCATCCACTCCTTAATTACAGTCAGTAATTGACTTTGTTCTGCTCCATTCCAGTCATTCACAGGAAAGCAGTTCCAAAGGCTTTGGCTGGTAAATCCCATTTAACGTGCAGGTTTCCTATCCCACTTTTATATATTACCTCCTTAGGATTTCTGATAAATGGTTCTTGGAAAGGATTGCTAAACCATATTTGCACTTTGAACAATCGAATTTTCAGCACCCTTGGGAAAAGACATCAGTAAAGAATGCTAGCTTTGACTAAACCTTGTGATTGAACAATTTATGATCACAGCCCTAAATGATGTATAACTAACAACGAGCATAAATTGTTCGATATTAAGGCGCGCTAACTCACCGTCCCTGCATCCGGCGCTGCTGAAATAGAGGGACCAGATTAAAAAATAAAAGACAAATCTGGGGGCGGTAAAAAAAAAATAAAATATGAAGTGCTCTAGATAGAGCTGCCAGTTTCCTTTGTGCCAGGTACTTTACTTATTTGAATATTTCCTGAAATCCCTCTCTTTGCCATCATTTTTGCGAAGGCTACAGTCTGGAATTAGCATTACCTTACCAGGCAGAATTATGATGCTGCTGTCGCAATAAATACCCACAAGGAATGACAACTGACATTAACCCTCTTATTTGCAAAGAGTGTGCCCTTCACGTTGCTTATAGAAGAACCAGGACGACTGGATTCTTTCTTTCTTGCTAGAGTACCTTGGAAAATTCACTTGAAAGGCTGAATCCACTCACGTGGTACTTATGCAATGAATTTAGTACAGTCCTGCTGTTAAGCATTGATCCTCTGAAAATATCGGCTCACCGCAGGTAAATGTGTGTTAAATTCGATACACTGCTGGGCTGCCAAGAAAGTGTGGGGAAGGGTGGGGGGAAATGGGAAATACTTTTCAGGATATTCTACTTGTGGTTTATTAAGGATTTGTCTTGTCACCTTATAAAGCTGCAAATGGAGGGGCGAGCTTCTTTTGCGTGTCCCCATAATGATGTACCAAGGTCGTTTTCAACAAGATCCTAAGGTATTAAACGAATAGATGCCTGTACAGCTCCAGGAAACATGGAACACCGTATCTGATTAATATCATTGCGATTTTATAATATATAAATATACCTTGGATCCCACCCAGGATCAGCAGGTCTTAAAAATCCTACAAATACTATATTTTTCCTGTCCCGGGTTGTGCTCTGGGACATGCTATTGTGCCATACATGGCTCTGTTCCTCCGGGACTTCCAAACCTTTACAGACCACCTGGATCACCTCTTAGAACATGTCTCAGAGAGTCTTCCCTTTCATGCTATACCTACATCAACAGAAAAAGAGATCAAAGCCAGAAAAGTGCCATGGAATAAGCTCGGGCACTTCTGTCCATAGTCTTCCTGCAGACTTTGATCTGCTGAATACTACACTGCTGCGAAAAAGAAAAGTCTCCTTCATGGTATCCTGCTAGTTCTTTACCAATATACATTTAGAGTTATAGAATTATATAGAAAAATAAAAGACCTTGAACATCATCGAGTCCAACTGTTACCCTAGCACTGCCAAGTCCACCACTGAACCATGTCCCCAAGCACCACATCCACACATCTTTTAAATACCTCCAGGGGTGATAACTCAACCATGTCCCTGGGCAGCCTGTTTCAATGTTTGACGAGACAACCCTTCCGGTGAAGAAATTTTTCCTAATATCCAATCTAAACCTCTCCTGGCACAACTTGAGACCATTTCTATAGATACATTTGTTTCTTACATTTATTTTAGGTGCAGAACAGGGATGAAGGCAATTTTAGCAATCCTACTGATAGGAACTCTATGGAGATATGGAAAAGGGTGATAAATTCACACAGCAAAACAAAAATACAAAACCGTATTATTGATTCATTCACTTCAAAGTGTACTTATGCATCTCTGGTGGCTGTAACTATTATTTGCAGTGATGAACTATTTTCAGACAATGCCAAAAACAAACTTTCATACAGGAAGTGGAGAATCCTATAGGGAAGGAGAAATGCAGCAAAAAAACCTTCACAGTCTCTACCCCGCAGCAAAAGGGAAGGGAGCAAGCAGCTCGGGAAGTGTATGGCTCACATATATCCCACGTATGGCCACCAAGAAACCACCACACAGTTCTTATTTCAGCCAAATACTGAAACAAGCCATTGTTCAACTCCCTCTGAATGTGGGACATGAAAAAAATACTGGACCATTGGGGTAAAGCTTCATACAACCCACCCCAATGGTTCGGTGTTGGATTATCGGACACTTCTGGACTGAGGAAACCCCACCAAACGCTAAGCCAGTGCAGAAAACCTAAATTTTGATGTCACCTGGGACTCCCACGGCTTGCAGTGAACACTAAGTGATTTAAACTTGGATTGACAGATACCTCTGTGTGCAGAAATTCAATAAAACGTGTTCCTCTTGTTGCACTGTGCATTGGGATTGCTGCCCTTGATATGTGTAGGAAAAAAAGGAAATGTGAGTCACTGGAGCATTTCTAGCTCAAAAGCTAACGCTCTT